TTTTATTCAATTCTACACATTCACTTATGCTATAAATGCATAAAATCCGCAGTGTACTGATAATCACTTGTCTTCGCAAATCAACAGACGTGTTTCGATACAGGTTATAGTTTCGCCGACGTACTTACCACTGATCTCAGTATTCTTGGGAGTATACATTCAGATTTAAACATTTAGATACCTTGAATAGTTCAAAATACAGAAATGGCCGGAAACTTTTGAACATACTAGTTTAACAATTTTTTCAATAAGAAGATTCAAACTAGCAAACAATTTTATAGTGCTGCATTATTTTGGTGTTTCATCCGAATTCGAGAAAAAATATTAGGTTATCCGTTTAAAAAACTGCGCATGCATATCTCGATAAAAAAGCAAAGTAACAAAAAACAAATTACAGTATTGTATGTCCCCCTGGAAACCATGCAACATTGGTTTCAAAAATTGTTTCTTAGAACAAATAACTTACGAGTTATTTGAAATCGTCACGTTACGAGACTCACCCTGCATGAAATTGTATTGTTCATTTCAATTTCTGCCATTAGAATCGATCACGCTGAATATACTCAAATAATTTACGACCACCTTAATCTTTTTGAGATAATTCGGCACGTCAAGGCCTTCCACTTTAGCGTCCTTCTCCAATCTATAGTTTATCTCCTACCGATTATTTACGACCACGGGAAGATTTTCGAAGCTCTCTGATCGCTGAAAAATTCGGAGGAGTAACGTGGGCGTGAAAAACTGGCCGCTGTTTCGGCTGGAAATATGTATTATTTACACGCGTCGAAAGCGGGCGCGTTCGTAAATTTCAACGGTAATGCCACGTTTACGACTCAATACCGGGAACAAATTCCGGCACGACGTAAAATCAAGTCGACGGGGGTTGTACACGACGGGTTCCCTGACCAGTCGGTCAGCCCCCGCTGCCTCTTTCGTTTCGTTATTCCTTTTACACGCCACCCACCCGCTTCTGAATTCCACTTTGCACTAAAATTCGCCTGCCTCGAAATACACGCTCGGCCCAGGGACGCTCGCGAAATTAAATCGGCAGGTTTACGAGATCTTCCCTTCCTTCCACGAACGTTTCAGTGGACAAACTTTGTCCCGTTCGTTCGACTGGCTTGGGTAGGTACTTATTTCGCGCTTTCATAATATGTACAGAGTGAAACTCTCCAAATAAACCATCTGGACAGTTTTTTAAAAAACAAATTCTAATTTTTATAGACTAATTTTGGAAATACATTTTTAGGTGAAACCGAATCAATGTTTTCGTTAAATATTACTAAAGTCTTTCTTGAACTCTGTTCAACACAATTAGCTGTATCATAAATTCGTAAAAGCCACTGTCTAATAATTTTAAGGCTGCCGTCCACTTGAGAGTACTATTACGACATACAACAAACAAACAGACTATTGACATACAATTGAGCGATCCACTCGCGACAGTCAATAATCTTCTATCCGACAGTCGCTCGCCGAGAATAAAACAATTTCGTATTCCTGCGAGAACTGTCGCGCGAGAAACATAATGTCCGGCAAGAAAAATTGGTGCGAAAACGAAATCAACGATTTAATTACGATTTGATGTAATTTTGATTTAATTACGCTTACAAGGGAACATCGGGGACTGATACACTCCGATTTTGATGAAAATTTGCATAAATATTTATTAGACTTATCTAAAATTCCAAAAAGAATGATTTTTTCTAGTCACAACACACTAGAGTCTAGCTAGTGCATACGATTCTGAGAGTTCTGTCAGACAGTAAGCTCTCGGCGAGCGTTCTAGCGACTATCTGAGAGTAAAAACCCTCGAAGCTACTTTCAAATGGATACACAACGTGACAGTACTCTAGAGAGCAACGCGCGCGAGAAACTCTCAAATGGACGACTGCCTTTAATGTTAGATTGTAGATATTTATGCAAATTCAAATGTTTATACAAGGTGTTTCCGAACTGATGCTACGATCCGAAATGATGTGATTGTGCTGTTGGATGACTAACCATCTGTTAGTCTTGAATCAACAGAGCGGTAGCCTGATAACTTCTATGCATCCGCCGTTTCTCAAATACGTTATCCGTTATCGCGGTAATCGGCAACGAACCCTTCGTTACCCCGATGGTTTTTCCATGTACCGACCCTGCAATACAGAACCTCAAAAACCCGACCGTTCGCCGAGACAACTTTCACCCGGATTCCAAAGGACGCCATGATGTCTTTTTGCGATACCCCGATTTCCCACACAGCCCCTTTCCAAATTCCTAATGTCGCCAGGATGTCTTCCCATAATATCCCTATTCCCTAGGTTATCCTTTTCTAAACTCCTCAAACTCAGCGTCAACCCCCTCCATACCGGAACTCCTTTAAATACTGGTCCCAAACAGGGGATCACACAGTCATTTTCCGAACTTCAGCAACATCACAACGTCACTCTGTCCAATTGTATTCATATTTGTAAATAATAGTTAAATAAAACGTATTAAAACCTAATTCGGAGTTACCTCGACGACACCGTCATCGTTTCGTTTTCCATTTCAAAGTCTGGTTTTATACAATGTTCAGTTTTTCTCCTATTTACTTGCTAAGGGCCTAAGGTCATTCGGCTCCCTCATAATACTACTGTATATAAGATCCCCGGAAAGATGCGGAGGCCAGATCTAATTCAGACACGAGACTCGCAACATCGTCAGTAATAACTCAATTCCATAGTATAGTGTACTTAGTCGTGTCTAAATGCAAGTCGTTTGCCGTAAGCCTTGCAGTTTCTGAAATACATTTATTATATTGTCATCAGCGTATTATTGACTTGCCAACATACACGTACGTCTTAAAAAACGTATAAATTTACAAAAGAAAGCAAGTTCTCAATGTCTCGAGATTCTATAATATATCAAATTCCAGAAAGAAGCTTCTGATTTGCGAGCACTAGACGACAAGGGTAGTTTGTATTGGTGCGCATCTTTGCATCGAAAAACGCGAAGATCTCCGGGGACGATACACGTCGGATTGAATTCGAATGGCTTTTGGCAGCAGGCGTAGTCGTTATTCTGATTTATTGCAGCCGTTCGCGCTGCCAACGCCGACAGAACGACGTAAAACAATAAAGACAGGGCGAAGAGGGGGCCCCGCGTAGCAACATTAAATAACGAGACGGCCGTGGCCGTGAAAGAGATTCGATCTAAAGTGCCGGTTACAATGTTGTCGTAACAACTTTCTTCGTCTCCTACCGCGGCGATCTATCACGCCCGTTCCAAACGCACGCGAGAACCTTTTATCAATCTATCGCGGCGTGCGTCCCAGACGACCCACACCGCTCGCGCGCGATCATCTGCGAACACCCTTCTTCCTCGAACCGATTGCTTTCTCCGTGGAAAATGTGGAGAAATCATTTTCACCGACAATAGGAACAACGTGAATAGTCCGTCGACTGATGTTACGAGAAATGTGGGTCAAACTGCAAAAAAAGTTGCCTACCCACCGAATTCAATAATTTTGATATATTGTAAAACTCGACATTTTGAACAACTTTTTCTTATACATATAACGGGGGGAGTTACTTAGTTGCAGAGATATTCGCGAAAAACTGCCGGTACTAGCACATTGAATTCTGCCTATAGTTGTGTTTATTTGACTGCAACAGAGTAACGATTCATTCTTAACAGAGTTATTAACGTGAATGGATGTTTAATTTTATAGAATTGCAAATCGATTATTATAAGGCTTCAAAGTTTGTTAGAGACAGCTCGAGAAGAAAAATAAGTCAGAGTTGATTAGAGACAGTTATTTTTTTCTTGAACTGTGTCTAATCAACTTTGAAGCATTATACTAATCGAGTTGCAATTCTATGAAACTAAACGCCCGTTCACGTTAATACTTCTGCTAGATAAGAATGAATCGTTATTCTGGGCCAGTCAAATAAACGAAAGCTAAGGTTAAGCTAAACGAAGCTAATTCAATGCACTAGTACCGGTACTTTGTCGTGAATATCTCGGAAACTAAGCAACTCCCCTCGTTACAAGTATGGGAAAAAGTTGTTCAAAATGTCGAGTATTAAAACATATCCAAAAATCATACAAACCGGAGGGTAGGTAGCATTACTACAGTCTCACCGAAATATGTTATAATGTACTGAAGCAACGCGGGATTTTAATCTTCAAATGGGATCGAATGGATAATTCTTAAAGAACAAGTTTCGAGTCTGTGGCATTTACAGAACTAAAAATGTACTGAAAATGTACAGTTTTTACGTTTTGCGCTCCAACTAGCAGTGTGGCTGGTACAACAACTAAAGGTGATCTATTCCAAATACCAGCTGTACTGTCAACACATTATCTTCTTTCATTTTACCATAAAAATTAATGTAGTGGTAGGAATCATCGGGCAAGTGCGACGGTATAATTTTCAATATTATCTTTGTTCTGAACAGGTTCATCGTTCAATTTTTTTGGCGAGACTCCACAAATATAACACGTATCCAAATTACGTTACTTACTGTACGTAAACATGTATCCAAATCGATATAAACAACACATATCGTTAAAACACTTACACTCTCGTTTATAAGTATTGGGACAGTTAACGAAGTAAATGTAATAAGGCATTACGAATCTGTTGAAAGTGTGAAATAAACATTCTTTAAGGAATTAAGGCTAACGTTAACAGCAAAAAGCACTTATTGTTAGACTAATATAAAGCAATAAAAGTCGTTACAATTATATAGTTTTTATGAAACATCATGTTTGTTACACGCAAAGTTTGTATTACAAACCAGATGTCCCAATACTAATGAACAGTACCGTATTCTTGTCTCTCGATGAGTTTCAAAATGTTCGTAAATCCATTGAAACAGTGATGGATAACAGGTCCTCAATTCGAAACGTAAACACATCGATTAATGAAATAACATTTCAGTCCCACTGATAGTTTACAAGCAGTATTGACGGCTGACAATTTACCAGTGGTTCTCAAACGAGCATACAGAAATAGATAAGTGACTTACCTTTCAGCTGCGTCGACTCGATGGCGAACATATTCAATGCCAGAAGCTGAAGCAACCGCGACCCAGGAAGCGGCAGCGGTGAATGCTGAAGAAGCGCTCTGAACTCTTTCAACATTTGGACTCCGGCTTCCTGGAACGTCTCCATTCTGAAACAAACAGCAAATTCATTTCCACTTACTATTTACGTCTAGCTTAATTTTGGCGTTAAAGGATTACAGAACGAAAGGACTAGTCGATCTACTACACGTGTAATTCATTCGATTTCGAAAATAGTATCGCAAACACTATCATGACTGGCAGACAATCCAGTACGATGGGAAGGCAGACTGAATAAATGAAAAGCAGTCGTGGCACGTATCAGTCACTCGACAGGATCTTGCATATTTTAGGGACTTCGGTCTGGATAAGGACATCGACCTCAAAATTGCAACACTGCGAATAATTGAGTAGGAACTTTTTGTGAATTTGGTTAAGTAGTATCTTTTCTGAACGTACCACTTCGTTATACATGTATGCTTTGGAAACTATTATATATTTGTACGTGTACTTTTAGGATGCCTTATTAATTTTTGATACATCATTAACTCACCCGGCGTATTTATAGTGCTAGATCTCTCTAATAGTATTAGAAACATTAAGGTCACCAGATACCATGGAAACATAAATTAATAAAATGCTTAATGAAACACTTGTACGAATCAATGTTACAAATTCTTTTGTTCAATAAGTGACAATTTATCAAACGCCAAAAAACGCTGAAAAAAAATTTGGGCCGAAGGGTCCATGTAAACTGACCGTTCTCCTTTAACAACTTTCGTTGTCCTAGTAGGTACTAAAATCACTAGATTGCGGATTTTTATGCAAAATCAAAGTTTTTTAAGTAATTTATAAAGACAGGCGCAATCGTAGAAATCGATTTTTCCTCTGAAGTATCTTATTGGATTTAAAATAAAATAGAAAACTCATTGGAGCTGATGAAACTTTTGTTTTTTATTGCATTTCACAGAGCTCTATAGGCTATAAATGCAAAAAATCCGCAGTCTACAAATCACAGACAACAAGATTATCTAATAATAAGGAATAATTTTCCATTAACGTTACATACAAACCATTTAATACAACTTAGGCACAAGAGAACGATTTTTCCTCTGAAGTATCTCATTTCATTCAAAATAAAATGGAAAACTCATTGGATCTGATGGAAGTTTTGTTTTTTATTGCATTTCACATAGCCCTATAGGCTATAAATGCATAAAATCCGCAGTCTACAAATCACAGACAACAAGATTATCTAATAATAAGGAATAATTTTCCATTAACGTTACATACAAATCATTTAATACAACTTAGGCACAAGAGAACATCCGGAATAGAGTAAGCCTCTTTGATCGCAGGTGTGAGAATTCGAGACCAGCTGCATGCTCAAAAAATATCAATTCAGTGGCAGAAATTTTATCACTGATGTACGAAAACCTGTCTTCACCAAAAAGAAAAGGAAAACATTTGTCGGCGCTTTTGAATCTCGTCCAGTGTCCGTTGTAAACATTTTCGACGCTTGTTCTCACCGCCACGAAATGCTTCGAACTGCATTCTGCCAAGTCCGAATCGAGTTTAGATACATCAGACGTTATAATTTGCCAGAAACAAACTCGTATCTACATTGTACGGAACCACGAGACGTTTACATTTAAAAGACACCATGTTCTTTCTTTTCTCGTGTCGTGCCCGCGTTACGGAACTTTCGCTGATAACCTTGACCTTGACTATTTTTAATGAAGAAAAGAATTATTGGCAATTTCAATATTGCAATTTTGTTATCGATTCAGTACCTACTAACTTTTGTTCTTAATATTCTTCTGTCAGATTACTGGCAGTTTCCGAAAAATAGTGGCGACCGTTACAATGAACACCCTGTATATCTATCTGTACGTACATCTACGGAAGGGCTTTCCCCGGCAATGCGAAGGGAGTCGCCGGTCTCCCAATAAATTGTATCGGCGCGACCAGAACGCCCCGTAACGAGGCGGACGAGAATCAGCGTGCTTTAATTAGAGTATCCAATTATTTATTTGCGAATTCCATGATAAGACGAGCGTGGCGGAGTGAAAACATCCACCGGGCCGACGGAGAATGCGCCCTGGTATGGGGATTTAATTAACCAACGCCGACGTTTTTCCGGCACCGGGGAAATTTATTTTGCTTCTAACAGTCCCCGATCGCGGGATCCGCGATCCGCCGTGCACGAGAACTTGCGTAATTACGATCATTTTAATTGGAAGATAGACTTACTATTAGGATGCGCCGGTCGCCCGGTAAATCGGCCCGATAAGCTCTTCACCTAATTGGATGAATTGTTTATGCTAACCGAATCAACGACTCCGTGTATAGTTTTCCTGTAACGTACGGTATCCACCTGGTCTTTAGTTAGTTCCCTTGTATTTTGGAAGGTAGGCGAATACATCACCCCGAGACGTCTAAAAATAGGTAAAGTTTGGGAAGTTTTTTCAATAGGTAATTCCTAAGCGAAAAGTTTTGAGTTTCCAGAGGACATAAATGTAGGTTTCAGCTTTATACGCCAATTTAAACAAAATGAAAATGTTACAAACTGGCGGAGTTATGCGCTAATTTCGCAACCTCTTCTGCTAGATTCTAGCTGCTAGAATATCGATTTCTGGTCGCCATGGACGGCACGGATTGGAACGTCTGAAATAAAGATTACTTTTTGATTTGTAAATAAGAATGTATTACTCACAATATAGCATTGGATTTTTCGATATCTCAATGATTTAATTGTTTCGAAACATTTAAAATTGATTTTTTTTTGTTTTGCAAAAAGAGATTTTTCTTCTACAAGCTGTCGGTATGTCTGTGTAACTTAAAATTTTCAAAACCATTTAGTAACATTTTTCAGTTTTAAAAATTGTGGAATAAAGCTGAAAGCTACATTTATATTTTATGGAAACTAGAACATTTGCAATACTAATTACGTATTGAGAAAAAAAAAGATAAAATTCCCATACATTACATATTTCTAGACGTCTCAAGGTGATATACCCCGTTAACCTTTAAAGAACGAAGCCTATTTTCGAAAGGTAAACGACATAATGGGATCCCTAAGATCCCCCCACTAAGAATTCATTACAATAGTTTTTAATATATTTCTGGTATTTTAATATTACACGGAGTTATATTATTCAATTAAGTTCACAACATTTATTTCTATAAATTTAATAAAAACCATCGTCATTTCGACATTATTTCTAAGTTATGATTTCTTAACAAAATACTTATTTTTCCATTCGATTATATAGATTTAATAACAAAATAATAATTAAATTACATTGTGCCAAAAATAAGTAAATGTCCCTCATCTTCTCGGTGAATTCGTAAATGAATTTGCTACACCAACAACAAGAATGTAAAACCACAGTAGACATTCTCGACGTCGCTCGACCAATTCAGCCAATTACTGTCCCACGCACTAATCACCCTCACATTAATATCCCCTTAAAAACAACAGAAGGCATGAAATCGGCTATGGAATTGTTCACCGAAACAATTCAAACAGTCGTATATGAGGCCACCCCACACACCAACAAGATAGCATACAATTATGAACAAACCGCCAGACCTATATTAAACAAAATCAAAGAAAAAACGAGCAGCAAAAAGATGGCAAAAAACTGAACTGTAGAAAATAAAAAGATTGCAAACAGATTTATACGACAAGTAAAATAACTTCTACTGGACCAAAAGATGAGAAAATTCCTAGCATTTGTAGAGAACCTAGACACCACATCAGCGATAAACTATTCTCTATGGAAAACAGTGTACACTCAGCACGAAGGCTCCCCCGGAAATAAAAATCGATTACGAGATAATTCTCACGGAAGAAAAAAACAAAACAAACTGGCTGACGAAGCGATGGATATCCGTAGTCGCCTCGCGCCAGGCATCGTGAAATTGGCATATTTCCAGCGCCAGGTTCTTAATAAAACGTCGAGCTTTACGACCCGGCCACGAATCAAGCTAAAGTTCCTCTTCGATGGTTTACGTACGCGATGGTATCCGCTGGACCGTGACTAACGTGCGAACGCGCGTTTGCTTTCGATTTTAATGGAAATTCGAGACCTCGCGTATACGTTCAATGGACTGGCCATATACTGGACAGTCTAGAGAGACGCTTATGGATTTTATATTGTGCAGAAGTGGTGTTGCGAGTGTGCAGAATAAAAAAAAACACACAGTTGTTGAAATGCTACGTCATATAGATATTTTATGTCAAATTTCCTACTCAGCGCTCCGATTTTTCCCCAAGTTAACATTGAAGATCGCAGCCAGAACGCTTGAATTGCATGCTTAACCATCCAACGAGAATATTCAGCACATAATAAGTAATATTAAATAACGGAATTATATTGAACTTGTAGTTCGTGGTTACAAATACAACATTATGTCTGTTTTTAGTAGGTACTCCTCTAAAACTATCATGAGATCATATTGCGTGCTTAATGTATTTGATTATCTGTATAAACTGCAATTACGAAAAATTTTTTTTTATTTTTCTTATACTTTTTAACAGTTCGCGATATGATTAAACCTATTTATGGAGTCATAAAATGACAAATCATAGTTGTCACGCATCTGAGACAGTACACTCTAATGAGCCTTAATGTGTCATAAAACATATATGGGTCATTCCACGTCAACCGAGACGATATAAAGGGAAAATTTTCGATCATGTCTCCAATTTTGTTCACGTTTTATGGCGTAGAAACACGCGTAAATTTAATTTAGACTTTTAAAATTAATATTTCTGGAAATATAAACGATTAAAGATTGCACAAAATGCTTAAAATTGGAAATGCACTTACATACAAAAATCAATATCTTCAGTTCTGTTTAGTTTACAGACTTCATCTTGAGCTCATTTTGAAGCTCTTGAACCACACTTTCATTTCGTACACACTAAGTTCAGTTACGAAAAGGTATTACATTTGGTACAAACACATATATAACATGAAATTTTCGAAACTTTTATACTTCGATAACATTTTGAAATAAATATGACGTTACTCCTTGATTTATCCTGTACCAATATGGTAAGTTTCAGGATGGAGAAACAATGGAATATACTTTAAAATAA